AGGATAAGGTTCTGGCCAGGTCCAGGCTGAACATAGTAATGGTGTCCAGTTCATGAGCTACTAGAGGTGAGACACATCCCCCTGTGATTCAAGGTCAGGCTACAGGCCTGCCTTGAGCACCCCACGCCCACCCGAGCCCAGCACTCAGGCAGAGGAAGCTGACTGAGTGCCCACTTGAGTCATCTGGGTCACTGGGGTGGCAGCAAACTGGCAGCCTACATGGGCTCTATTTCCAGCTGTGCTTCCCTGGCTGGCACTGAAAGCCCTCTGCCCGTCAGGTAGCTCTTGGTGTCTAATTAAGGCGACCCCCTCTTGGGTCCTAAGACAGACTGGAATGTGAGCACAGGATCGAGCAGCCCAGCCAGCCAGTGGTAAGTGGGAGCCATGGCCACCGACCCCATGGGGCTGTGTCGTCCACCCACAGCCAAGGCTCTGCCCTCCCCAGAGAGTCAACATCAGCATAGGATAGGTCTTCCCTGCTTCCTTTAGTCTGCTTTTCTTGACATTAAAGTGATTCCACCGCAACTTAGAGAGATCACTGGTTGCTAGTTGGACCTGAATCCAGCCTCTGTGGGAGTCAGACTACCTCGCTCCAATCACAGTTCAAGGATCCCCAGCAAGAGTGGCCTCCCGCACCCCACCTAGGCATCCGGTGCTGTGAGCTGCTCATCCTGACCCTGCCGCGTGGAGCACAGCGTGTGCGGTAGGAAGCTCTGACTGTAGATAGTTCAGGGCACCTTGTAGCACATCCGGGTGTCTCAGGCCCTACGCACACCCGGCAAGCTGAGGCCCAAAGCTACAGGGACCATGGGGCCGTGCACTGTCCCCCTGAGGAGAACTGGTCAGTGGTTCACAACCCTGAGAGCCTGGGTGACCCACACCCACACATCCACTTCTCCCCCTCACTGCACTGCACTCCCCGAGCCCCTCTAACCCTGCACCCCCAGGTTGCACAAACCCAGCCTCCCAACCTCAGCCCACCTTCTTTCATCCGTCTGTGTCCACAGTTGCCTTGTGTTCTTCCCGCTGACCTCACCACAGCTTCTTCCTCCTTGTTTCTGTGCCCGAGTTCAAGCCCCAAGCCAGCTCAACTGGCCCGTTTCCCAGCAGCCTCTGCCTGGGCCACAGGACACCTCATCCTCAGCAGAGGGCACACACAGCCCTGAGAGCAGTCACTCCTCCATCCCCAAGGGGTTTGGGAAGCAGCCTCCTCTGGCCTCGGCACTCAGCAGTGGCTCTGATTATCAACACGGTGAACACTAGGGTGGGAATTCACACTGCCCTTCTATCCACCATCCCTCAGGGGCCCGAGCTTGCAGGGCCACATCACATACTCAAGGCTTGTGCCTAAGACCCTGCAGGGTCTGCACCCAGCTCCCAGCTTCTCACTTCCCTAAGTGTTTCTTCAGGTCCGGACCCATGGGCCTAACACCAGATGCCTTTACCTGGGCATTTTAGCGAGTGCTATTCAAGGCTTGTAAAGGTGGGTTGCTCCAAATTCCCTTGCAAAGCATTCCCATTTCCCAAACTTTCTAGCAGTTGGCAGCACAATGTGACCAGCCTGGACCAGTGAAAGGCAAAGGAGTTGCAGTGTGAAAGAACACTGCTTTTAGGAAGGTGTTTGTCTTCCTGCTTGAAAACTGATATGTTAGCAGGATCAGCAACAGCTATCTGAAGAGTATGAGGGAAAGATACAGAGCAATTAAGAGATGTCAGCTCTAACATCCTTAAGCTGATAAAATTACTCCAGTAACTACCTGTATCTAGATTTCTTACAATACATGAAAAAATACTCTAAATGGTCCAGGCCACCAAACTGTGGCTAAGCATCCATGTGTTTTTCTTTGTTTGTTTTTTGCAGTACCGGGGATTGAACTCAGGATCCTGTGCTTGCCAGGCAAGCATTTATTCTACTGAGCTATCTCCCCAGACCCCAGCATCCACATGTTTAATCGTTTGCTTCTCAAGAAACCTTGAAGTGGAGGATTCTTACTATCCGATTTTATAGATGAGATAACTGAGGTTGAGGGCATGACCTGTTGTCGGGTGCAGCGCTTGGATCCAGGTACTCCAGGGTCCCTCAACATCCAACCCCGTTCTGTCCATCCCAAGCCCTCCCAGGCCTCCATCCCTATATAGAGGACATCCTTGCCCTTCCTCCACCTGGCTAGCTAACATCTAACTCTCCAGTTGTCTCCCAGAAGCCTGTCCTGACCCCGCTCCCTCCCATTCCCAGCACCCATCGTGCTGGGTTGCAATTGCTTCTGTCCCTTGTCACTTGCACCTGTGAGAGCGGCGGTCATCTCTGCTCCCAGCATGGCGGGCCAGAGGCAGAAGTGCTCGCTGCCCAGCAGCCAGCCTGGTGTGAAGGCCTAGCCAAGCAGGCAGGGCCTCCCAGGCATAGCAGGAGCCTGCAACAGAATCAGGGGCCCCACAGCCCCCGAGGTCCTTCTGGTCCAAGCTCTTAGTGTTTCGCAGCCAGTTCCAACGTCCTGTTCCCTCAGAGGTTCCACGTTGCCCTGTGCCCCACAGCCAGAAGGGGGAGTGTGACTTTAGGCAGCACCTTCCCTTCCCGGGGCTCCAAAGCAGACTATAGCATAACACCTGCCTACAAGGCCTTGGAGACTCAGGGAGGTGACTCAGGGAGGCTGTTCCTGTCCCTGTCACAGCTCTCAGTTCCACTACTCCTACAGCCTGGGCTCATTCCTTAGCTCCCTTTCCCTGGCCCACCCACTCCACAGGCCCCCTCCCCTGGCCCAGCAACTTCCGGGCATCCTGCTCCATCAGGCCTCTCAGAGGCTCCTGTCAAAGGCCCCTGTGTGCACCTCAATCCAGCCTCCGAGGCTGCCCGGCAATCGCTGAGCTTGGCTTGGCCGGCCACACAGACTTCCCCGAGCCCAGCTATTTCCTGTCCCTTGGCCACCCCATCCCAGCTGCCTGGCTCCTCTCTGGGCACAATCCCGCCACACAGTTCTGACTGCTCCCTGGCTCCAGGCCAGGGCTGGGGTGTGGGTAAACAGTGCTGGGAAGGACAGGACAGTACATCAGCCACCTCCGGGTCCCCCGGTCCTCAGGACACACAGCCATGGACCTTGGTCGCTCTTTCTATAGATCTTTATGAGTGTGTATGGCTGAGACTCCAGACCTCTCAACAAAAGAGGTGCTGAGTCTAAACCTGACTGCTATGTGACCTCAGAAAGGTCACTGGATGTCTCTGGGTCTCTCCCTTCCCTCACGAGTGAACAGGAGCTTGGTTCCCATCTCTGTTTGACTCATTCTTCATCTACTGCTTGGCAATCTGATCAGGAGCAGATAAAATCTATGAAGAAATCCACCATCCCAAAGCAAAGGTGACAATGCCAATAGGGCAGCAAAACCTCTTGTGCCTGTCCCTTCTGTTGCCCTGTAAGACAACTTCACCAGCCTTGTCCCAGTCCTTGTGCTTGGTTTCTTCCTTCCCCAAACCAGAACCTGAGACTGTCAAGTCCCCTGCCCAACTCTTCGAAGTCCCCCTGTTCTTTGGCATTTCATTCAAAGCTCTATCAGGGCTCCAGGTATGGGTGACAGACCCTGACTATGACTGCCCTGGGCTCTCAGGCAGGCCTCCAGCAAGAAGTTCAGCAAATCCACATGGGTTGGGGTCACCGATGCCCCTCTGAACAGCCTGGGGACCCCCTCCTCCAAAAAGCCCTGTCTGGCCCCTGCTGTGCCCCTTGCCCAGACTTCTGCTGCAAAGGTGTTGGCTGAGGCCAGTTATAGCTACTCATAGATCTGTCTCAGTATTCCAGCCTGGACTCACTGCCTACGAGGGCGGAGCAGGCCCTGGCTCGGGAGCAAGGAGGCACTGACCAGGTGGTGGAGTTGGCGCCTGCCGGGTGAGGCCTTGAGAGACCCAAGGTGCACATGGGTGAGAAACAGTGTCAGGTCAGGACGGTCCTGGGCTAACTGGGCAGGTCCAGGCCTCAGATTTCTGGACTAAACAAATGTATGTGTGCACGCGCCTGTGTGAGTGTGTGTGTGTGTGTGTGTGTGTGTGTGTGTGTGTGTGTGTGTGTTGGCCCTGGCCCTCTCCTCTCTACACCATCTGTCAGGAGCCGCATCGTCAGAACAAAGCTTTTTGCTACTTTATCGAAACCCTTCCTGGTCACACAAAAAGCAGTGACATGAGGTTTGGCGGGAGCCTCTCAAGCCCGAGGAGCCGCTCCCCGTATGTTGACAGGGACCCAAGGTCCACACCACAGGGAGGCGTGTGGACAGCACCATCCCCTGCGGCCCCCACAGCCACATGCGCAGGGCTGAGTCTGAACTACAGAGGCTGTGTCTGTCTTCACGCGCCTGAGCGGCATGGGTGGACCCCAGCGCGGCTGAGCCTGAGTCAGGGCTGGATGTGGCTTGGCCGCAAGCCCTGGGCAGCCCTGCCTGGCCTCCACCCCGGGCAGCCTGGCAGTGGGACAGACTGACACCTGGTTCTTCCAGACAACTTTGGGCGAGGTCACCCTGGCTTGGAATCTGCCACCGCGTGACCACACTGAGCCCAAGCTGGGAGCGGCCAGGACAGCATTTGACTGTGGGCAGTGCCAACTGTTTTAGCAAAACAATTGTGTGGAGTGGTTGTTTGTGGATGGAGACAACTGTTAACTTCCTGCCACAGGCTGGCAGCCAGCGACCCTTCGCAATTCTGTCCCCTCCTGAGGAATTAACAATTCTCCAGCCAGTAGGAGGCAGTCAAGGAGCAGAGGCGGCAGTCAGGGGCTGGGTTCATCTGAAATGAATGGTTTGGAGGATACTTCATTTTTTTATTGAATTTCATCACTGTTCCATTGATCGCTGTTCTCAGTCACAGGTGGTTGGCTGCGTTGCTAATTGTTTAAACAAGTGATTGGAAGAAATCAGGTGTGCGTATATGTTTAGGGGCATGAGAGTGGCTACTACTGGTGACTGCGCTGAGGTACCCCCCTCCCTTGTGAACGGACAGTGACTCACAAATGAACACAGAGGACTGTGGTTTGGCCAAATTGTTTTACTGATCTGCCTTTTGGATTTGGCAGGTGCCTGGTGAAACTGATCGGGCTGAGAGTGGTTGAACCAGACTCACCAATTGGGAAAGATCTAAGGAAGTGTAGCTGGTGGAAAAAAGCCAGTCAGACTGAATCTGTGCGCGACTCGAGGAAATCTCCAGCCCAGGGGCTGGGCCCCACGGTGAGCATCTTTTAAGCCCTGCGCAGCACAGGCCAGGGAGGGGACCAAGCAGATCGTCCTGAAGTCAGCTGGGTGGGCCATGCAGACCATGGGAGCCCCCAAAGCGAAGAAGCAGATTACAAGGCAGCTCTGCCCCTCACAGCACTAGGGCTGGGGCTTGGTGGAGATCACACCTCAGAGTATGGCGGTGGTGCTGGGTCCCCCTCTGGAGACTTGCAGGGCATAGAGATGGCTTCCTCGTAGGATGGCAGGACCACCTGGAAAGACAGAAACAGGAGGGCTGAGACTGGCCAAAAAGAACAGACAGCTCCCACCGGGAATGGGGCAGCCAGGAGCACGACCTGCAGGCCCACAGTGGGGAAGGTGCCAACAGCAGCTCCTGGGTCTGCCTTTGCCCACTCAATGCCAAGCTCCCCATGTTTCAATGACACCCCACTTTCCCCAAGGAAACCATCTCTTCCTGTATGCTGGTAAGATAATTGATTCCACCAGGCGTGGTGGTGCACACCTGTAACCAGGCATAGGGGAGCACACTCAGGCTGGAGAATGGCAAGTGGGAGCCCATCTGGGCAATTTAGCAACTTAGAGAGACTCTTCCTCAAAATTTAGAAGAAGGAGGAAGAGGAGGAAAAGGGGAGGGGAGAGGAGGAGAAGAGGAGGAGGAGGAGGAGGAAAGAAGAAGAAAGAAGAAGAAGAAGGAGAAGGAGAAGGAGAAGGAGAAA